ATATTTATATAAAATAAAAATACACCACATACATATCAATACAAGTAAAAAATAGTACCTCTGGTTAATTATTAACACATTTTCTTTAGGAGACCAAAACCAAACCAAACAACAACACTCATCTTTTGTCACCTTGGACTCTGTCAAAAAATAAATTGTTTTTCCGTGTCTGTCATACCAAAAAAAAACCAATAGGATAAATAATTAGCATGTACATGTCGATCAAATAACAAACTTTTCTTTTACTTTTTTTTTTGTTCAAAATGTCCCAACAAAAGCAAAAACTTAAAAGAACCAAACAAACCTCAACCAAAGATACATATGAGTAAGTGTTTTAAGGATGGTGGTGGTTATCGCCCACCACCTGTCATCATTACTCTAGTTGTAAATTTAATACTTGATTAAAACCATTATTTTAATAATTCCAGACCCAATGCAACTAATGTAAAAACAAAACCAAATAATTGCAAATTATTAATAACGGAAGGTGATTCGTCAAGAGGGTTGATTTTGGCAGGACTTGGTGCCATTGTTGATAAAGATGACTGGGGTTTTATCCTCTTGGGGGAAAATTTTTAAATGTTCAAAATGCTTCAAAGAAACAAATTTCTGAAAATAAAGCAATCAGGGAAATTGAAGAAATTATTGGATTAGAACGAAATAAAGTATATGATTCAACCCAGGGTTGGCAAATGTGCAGTCCATTGATGGTCTATTGGTGGTCTATTGGGTCCATTAGTGTAACACTTTAACCATATTTAGTATTTTATTAATGGCAATGGACCAGTCCAAAATCCATCTGTTCTCAATGGACCAGTCAATTTGCCAACCCTGATTCAACCAACGGTTTACACTATGGAAAATTAATTATTATGACTGATTGGGTGGGTAATTGTAAAAATTATATCAATAAAAAAAATTATATAAATAAAAAAAATCATATAACAACTAAAATAATTTATTATATCTATAACAGGACCATGATGGAAGCCATATAAAGGCACTAATAATAAACTATTTAGATTATTTTTATCCGAGCTTACTGGAATTACATGAATTTCTACACATCTTTGTTATGCCTGCTGTCAGAGTGAGTAATAATAATTATCTTGTATTTTTAGGTAATATATACATATATAATTAATTTTCTAATAAATAAACAGAGCGGGAGCTTGCTTTTTTTTCCATATGTGATTACGAAATTCATGTAAAAAATAATGATAAAGTTATACGAGGTTTTATAAGGTACTTGATTTTTTAATTCATTGATTCCATATTTGAAAAATCTTTTAATAATAATGTTATATTTGTTTGGAATTCCACCATTGATAATTGCAACTGCATAGAGCTTGAGCAACCACTCACCAGAAGAGATGAAAGAATTTTTTATAAACTACCATAAATATGTTAAAAGTGTTAAACCTTTGGACAAAGAAGATCGAGATCTATAAAGGCGTAACATTAACCAGCTGGATTAAAAATTTTAAGGTAAATTTTGTTTATTCAATAATATATTTCAATTAATATTTACAAAACCTTTATTTAAAAATCTATATCTTGAATTTATTTTTTTAATATCTTTTATTTAAAAAATGATTAAATTATAGGATGATGGGATCGATTATAATCAAAATGAAATTAGTATTAAAGATATTATAAATAAAGAACTTTCGTTTTTTGTCCAGAACAATAATTTAAGATGCATACCGTCGTTAGTAGATGGTTTAAAATTAACGGTCCCGTTTACTTCGTCGAAAATCATTTCGTCGACAATCATTTCGTCGACACCCATTTCATCGAAAGTTTGTTTCGTCGAAAGTTTGTTTCGTCGAAAGTTCATTTTGTCGAAAGTTCATTTTGTCGAAAAGTTCATTTTGTCGAAAATTATTTTGTCGAAAATTGTTTCGTCGACAATCACTTCGTTGACAATCACTTCGTCGAGAATCATTTCGTCGACAATCATTTCGTCAAAAGTTCATTTCGTCGAAGGTTCATTTCGTCGAAAATTATTTCGTCGACAGTTCATTTCGTCGGCTTATGTATTGTACTAATGATAAATGAGGTGATGATAGTGATGGCAACAATATCGACATTGAATATTTTAGCATTGATAATAATTAT